CATGACGTATTACCAGCGTCACGTGACTTCCGCTGTCGTAACAATATATAACTTACATTTGTAGGCCCATGAACAGTGTTTTTATTATTTTAATAAATCAATACAAATAAACAAGTACTCGCTAATTTATGTTTTTGATACCCATGAAGCAAAACGAAATATATGATCGTAATTCAACGGCTTAAATTTTTGACGTAATGTAAGTATGCGTAAAGTTTCAAACTTAATGAAAATGGTCTCTCTAATGCGCATATTTCTAATACCAGAGTTTCTGTTTCTTATAATCCGCCCCCCAGTGGCCCGCGGTAAATCTAAAGGTTTATAACACTAAAAACGGGTTTCGATACCCGTGGTGGGCACATCACAGACAGCCCATTGTGTAGCTTTGAGTTAAACTACAAAAATTATTATATTCTGTTCGGATTACTAGGTGGTTTATATTTCTACCCGTATTTGAAGCTTGGAAGAGAAGAGATATTAATAAATTATGCTAATCTGATTAAGATAAATTGCATTGGATTATAAGAATACAATGTCATTACAGTTAACAGATTCTACCATCGTTAGCAAAAAATAAAAGGGAATCCTCAATAGCTGCGGCACTCGAAATTCGTTTAGGCAGGATTAGAGTAAATTAATCTATGATACATTTTTTTCCTTTTTATTAGCTATATTTTTGTGCGCCAGCGATACCAAGCGTGGGGCGCGCGTATATCCGAATTAATTTATTACTCATCAGGATCACTACCAGCCTACCCTTAAACTGAAATTATTTTAGACAGGAGTAGAGGAAATTAATCTATGAAATCTTGGTCGTGGTCAAATATATTAATAGAAAGGGTTGGGCATCCTGAGTCCAAAACTGTAATTAAATCTCAAATCGGCCAAGAGATGACGGAGCTATGAGCTAAAAGTTTGTACTTGAAAAATAGAAATTCAGAATCATTGTATGAGCCGCTCTGCCGCGGCTAAAAAGTAATATTTAATGTTCGTTATTTTATAGTGGTATTTGTGTGTTAATAAAGTAAAAGGCTTGTCTGAGTTTGTTTGTTTGTAATTAAACACAAAGCTACACAATGGGCTGTCTGTGCTCTGCCCACCATCGGTATCGAAACCCGGTTTCTAGTGTTGTAAGTCCGCTGAAATTCCGCTGTGCCACTGGGGGCGTGAAAAATAGTGAACTTTACAAGTGCATTATAAAATGTCCACAAAAACTATGAGAAAAATTAAAAAAATATTTAATCAAGATTTTTGTCGGAATGTGATCATATTAGATCATGTGTTCAAAACACATTTGCATGGCCCGGCATGGCCAGGTGGTTAGGACGCTCGACTCGCAATCTGCGGGTCGCGGGTTCGCATCCCCATCCCACCAAACATGCTCGCCCTTTCAGCCGTGGGGGCGTTATAATGTGACGGTCAATCCCACTATTCGTTGGTAATAGAGTAGCCCAAGAGTTGGCGGTGGGTGGTGATGACTAGCTGCCTTCCCTCTAGTCTTACACTGCTAAATTAGGGACGGCTAGCGCAGATAGCCCTTGTGTAGCTTTGCGCGAAATTCAAAACAAACAAACAAACACATTTGCATTGATATAATATATATATAAAACAGCTAGGCCTAGTAGTTATGGTACTATACTCTCAATTTGCGGATCGCAGGTTCGAACCCCGTCACCCAATATATTCGCCCTTTCAGCCTTGGGTATATTATAATTTTAATCCCACTATTCGTTGGTAAAGAGTGGCTCAAGAATTGGCAGTGATTGGTATCGACGAGCTGCCTTCTCTCTAGCCTATCATAATTAAATTAGGGACGGCTAACACAGTACTTTGATTTACGTTATACAGTACCAGTGAAAGAGTTTTCACAACAGGTAAGCAATAACACCTCTAGGAAAAGTTTTGAAACTTTAAATACTTGAAAGACCTTTTCAAGAAACCGGATAATCACGTAGTATATTGTTACGTCTCTGTTCGTTTGTTAATTTCCGGTATAAATTTTCTTTCCGAGGAACTTCAGCGATACA